ATAGAAATAGGCATTTTATCAGTGATTAATAAATCACACAGTGAAATGAAATTGTAACAGTAGTTAAAAAGTATTTAAAATGAAATTGATCGATTGAAATCATGGGCCGATCAATGTCGCAATATCATTGATAACCTGGAAGCACTCGAAGAACGTTTCGTTTTAATATAGCACTCCTTAACACCGAACACTCATGAAATCGAACTCTGTAATACAACACTAATCATTCCATCTCCTCTGTGAATACTTAAACTCTAAACCACTATGTCGGTATCCAACAGTGTTCTCATGTTTAACGTTAATCAATCCACCATATTGCATCACCATCTCACATAATCTTCAATGGATGACTGACTCACACTCGACATGGATTAGTTCCACTGGTCATGGATTCTCACTAGAACCCTAAAATTACTATCAATTCTTTTGAATTACTTTACGGGTAAATGACTTTATTATCACTTACATCTTTCCTGAAATACCGTGTTTGATTCATAATATGAATAAAATTTAAAAAAGGGTGTAACATGATATATATATATATATATATATATATGGTGTTTTTATTGTGACGACTCAAAATGGTATTGTTTGCATTATCGATTTCGATGGAATTTGTCTAAGTGCAATTTTAATGAGTCAATAAACAGATAAATTAGTTTTTCAATACAATTATTCTACTTATCCTGTATTTAGGCCTATAGATTAATTTATGTTTTTTTATTGTATATGGTTATTATTAAACTAAAAATTAACATAACTTTAGTAAATTCAAGTATACAACTTAATACGTGTCGAACGTACATGTAAGACCTTTTACTTTTTTCAAGTGCATGATTTTGTGCGATTAACATTAGGTTTTGTAGTATGGATCCGATTCAATTAAACATATTCATATCCTCTAAGTTTTGGGTGATCGATTATTTATGCCCCTTAGAATGCAGAATCTCATATACTATAGTGAGTGAATCAAAATTTACATAAAGTATACTAAGATGCTTAAGCAACCATTTACGATAGATGTGTGTGTCTCCAACAGTAGTTAGCATTGCGCATCGTGGTAAACGGTGGTTAAGCATACGTAACACCCGGCCCAACCATCTCGATCGATGAACAGTCACAACCTCATCGACTGATTTATCATCATTTCCGAGTATCCTTCATCTAACCTCACTATTACTTACCCGGTGATACCAGCAGATGCAAACAACATTTATAAGACATCTATCATCAAACACAGGCAAATTACGAGTATCTTCTACTCCTAATGGTCACATTTCTTAGACGTAAGTTAGAACAGAACGAACTGCCGCACAGTATACTCGTCCCTTAATTGATAGACGGATATCTCCCTTCGTCAAACGTGACGTAAGTTCGCAAAATCCAAAGGAGCTTTCTGAGTCGTGCACACATTTCATTAGAAACCAACCCACTACGTCTGATCGAACTTCCAATATAAGTGAAGTTGTCAACGCATTCGACTACTTCACTCCCTATCCTTAGTTCAAGTGTTGATGCAGGCCAGTTCTGAAGCAACAATTTTCATTTAGATGCATCACAAACATTCTAGCATTGTTGCTCAGTGCTACCAAAAGACTCTGCACTTTATCAACGTCTTCACCAAACAAGACTATGTCATCTGCGTATTATAAGTCGATAAGTACACCTCCTGGTAAGAGATCAATACCCGAAAATTCAAATAACGGAATTGTTATTTTCATCAGTATGTCTATAATGAAGTTGAACAAAAATGGAGATAGTGGACAGCTTTGCCGGACACCACTTCAGGTTGCAAAATCAGATAACAGTTCGCCAAAAGCTCTGACTTGACAAGTGGTGTTCGATTAAAGAGCCCTCACAAGGTTTATGTACTTCTGATATACAACTTTCAATGACAGACACTGTCACAGAACCTCTCAGTCAATAGAGTCAAATGCTGGTTTTATGTCAAGAAAAATTATCACTGTCGGACGCCGACAAACATGACCACGTTCTAAAATCTTCGATAGAGCCACGACAATTTCTGGAGCCAGCCTGAATTTCCCGTGTTATCAGTTCACGAGATTTTGTTTGGCGTCCGATAATTATTGAGGCTAGTATTATAGAAGCTATATCGGTCAAACTAATCCGTCTATGGTTATCACAGGATGATTTTAACCCATTCTTATATATTAGGACAATCAGTGATCGCGACCGTTCAGATGGTATTGCATCTAGTCACCAGATTCTAGATAAAATATTGGTCAACTTTATCGCTAAAACTGAACCAACATACATAATGGACCCGCTGCCCTTCCTCGTTTCAGATTATCGTATCTGTAGCATTTTGAACTTCAGTTAGAGTTGTGTGGACTCCTTTAATGTTTCATTCAGGCTGTTTGGGAACGGTGGGTAGTTGTAGAATGGCTGAAGGCCAGCTGAACTACTCCTTAAAGTGTTCCGCCCATCATTCTAAATAGTGTCGTCTTTTTCCAAGATCATCTCACACTTGACCTATTAATTCCAGTTTCTTTTATTAGTATAAAACGCTGTCTTGTGTTAACTACAGTTGCTGAAATTCCCATCTATTTCGCTTTCTTTGCTCATCATTACTCACACTCTCAAACTGTTGAGTATTTATTTATTATATCAAACCTGAAACACCGTCATCCTGTATTAAAACGTGTTCAAACGTAACAACAATACAAAACATTTAATTATTAAGCAATAATGGAAAATGTTTGTAATAATTCTCTGTATGAGAATTTACCAGTGCAAGAGACTTAGTAGAAATCCACTGGTTTTTAGTGACCCTTCAATTCATATCACTGATAGATATCGCTGCTGTTTCCACAACTGTTCGTACTTCTCTCCAAGCAACATCTGGGTCAGCCTCGTTTTCAGAACTACCTAAGTGTGACCTAAGTCGTTCCTGGAATATACTTTTCGCTTTCTCGTCAATGAGTTCGACTCCAATGCGATTTCTTAATGTTGTTTACCTGTGTCCAGAGAGGTGTCACCGAACGTTTGCTCGTATTAGAGCATAGTCAGAGTCTTGACATGTATCCCAGAACGAGCGACAGTCTTCTATCGACCCTCTCCAACGATGACTGATGGTAATATGTTCCACTTGAGTCCATCGTTGGCTTGATGCAGGGAGTCTCCATGTTAAACAATGTCTCTTCTCATTGCCTAAAATTGGTGATTTCAGAAATGAACGATCGTCTGAGCACAGTTGCAGCAGACGGACACCACTGATTGTTCACTGAACCGGAATACCAAAATACGCACCCAAATATCTTTGTGTTCGCTTTAAACTACCTACCTGGGCATTAATGTCACACGTTATGAGCACTATGTCTGAGTGTCTAGCTTTCTGAAGAAACTCAGAAAGCTTTCTGTGAAAGTCATCTTTCACTTCATCCAGGCTGCAGTCAGCGTGAGCGTAGGCAGAAACGACAGACAGGCAACGACGTGTCTCGTTATCTTTCCGAGTTCCTAACGAGCAGTTTAGCCGTTTACCACATAAGCGTCTGTTAACGGGAATTCATTCCAATAATGCTTGTTCTGCCCTCGTACTCAGTGTTATGCCTACATCTGTCAGTACACGACAATTGCCCATCGGGTCATCAGAAACACGCAGTGTGTAACTCATCAACTTTCCGTTTTGGAGAGATGGAGTCAAGTGAGTGACCACATTAGGATTCTCTACATATTTGTTTCGGAGACACAGCATATATCAATCGTACGAGATTCTAGGGTTTTAGTCAAGGAGACGTGCCGGCCAATTTGACATAGGGTGAGCACATTTAAGGCTCCAATGTGTAGTTTGGAGCGAGGTTTCAGTAGACCTGGGAGCAGTTCGCTGGCTATGGTGACTCATGAGGAGAATGTCAAAAGAGGAAGTTTGGTTTTGAAACTAGAGGTCGGAGGAATAATAGGAATTGAAGAGGGAGATTGATTATGAATGAAGTGGTCTTGAGTGCTGTTAGAGTTATGAGGGCGGTTATCACTTCCCGGTCGCCCTCCCCATGGAAGGGTTCTTCTACAAGAGTCTGGAAAGGAAATTAGTTTATGGGTGGTCTAAGTGATCTGAGAGCGTGACCGCAGTGCACGACGGACAACATCTTTAGTTCGATCACATATGACCTTTTTGTGAGAAAATTTCGTGTTGACTACGTACTTGTTGAGACTTTACCACCGGATACGGATATCCGTGGGATAAGGCGAGATGTGTATTTTTAGAGTCCGTCTATTCATCCCCACCCCCCACTTGTGGGAAGGCAGCATCGCTGTTATGCGTGTTATCTGAGGGAAACACCTTACTTCCATCACAACTTTGTGCAGTTAATTATGCGACTTCTGTCCTCGAACCTTGGGATAGCTGTTTTTAGTTCCACCGCTCCTCAACCGACCTGTCTGGCATAGTAGGACCTTGAAAAACGAACGTTTCAGGCAGTATAGCTCGATTGGTTTGTTTTGATAGGCAATCTCGACAACCTCGTTAAAGTAGCAGCAGCGGTCATAGATTTTAGTCATACATAATGAAATCAATAATGTACAATTGTTAAGTACCTCAAACCCAAAATTTTCAAAATTTCGACGAAATAACTTTCCTATTAATCGGTTGAATGTATCCAACAGGAAATCTCAAACCTAGATTTTGTGCTAACTAGCACTCATTAACAAAATGTACTTGTTAACATGAGGTAAGTTAAGTTGCTAATCTGATTCAAATTTGGATCACTCAATTTCACAGTCTTAAATGTTATGACTGAGTTGTTTGGTTCGTTAATCAGTTTAATTAGTTACACTGTAATTTGATGGAATTTGGTCAGTATTAAAAACAGTAGACAAAACTTGGAATTGTTCCATTCTCAATGATCAATAAATTGTGATTGAAATAAACCGAAATGTACATAGTTCAATTTTTCATTCTACTCAAAATTCTATGATTGAATTAAATTATTTTTTAATCACTGATTCATCAAGCTATTTGGTTAAAAATAGAAATAACTCACTTTTTAAAATTGAACAAATAAGAATTAGAAGAACAATGAGTGCATATTCCTAACCATCGTTTTGACATGATGTTTTTTGGGATTATTTCTACAATAAATAGAAAATGTATATTTAGATAGGTATCATTACCAAGGTTTGATTTGATAATTTCGAATAAATTGAGCATTGGGTAGATTGTTATAGATAAATTAATATATTTGTAATATCCCAATGAGTAGAAAAATTCGATTTTCTGACGTTTCGTGACTTACTGTAAGTCATTTCTTCAGAGTATAAATAAATAACCAAATTAAAATTAATACAAGTTTAAATAGTACGACGGAACAATAAGAATATTATATGATCAATCCAAAAACAGGTCTGAACAAATCAATGTCATGTTCTGTTTTTCCGTTGTACGATTTAAAATTGGATTAATTTTAATTTGGTTATTTATTCTCTGAAGAAGTGACTTACACTAAGTCACGAAACGTCAGAAAATCGAATTTTCTACTGATTGGGATATTACAAATATATTATTTATTTATGTATATTTATACAGTTTTAAAAATTCTTATAGATTACCGTAAAAAAGAATAGTGAATATTTAAGTCAGTAGTTGTTATGAGATGATACATTATCAAAAGCTTTACAACAGTAAATGAATAATAGATGATTAAGTCATAAATAATGCAAAACCTTCACTCGTTTTTAGTTAACTAATATTATCTAATTAGAAGACGAAGATTATCAGAAGTATGTGATATATTAGCACAATGCATTCCGAACAATCTGATCACATATATACTTGTTAAGAACATTTATGATGGTGTTGTATAAAAGTGTAAAATGGCGTTTACTAAGGTTTATTGAAGCCTTAGCCATACGACAATTCAAACCCTCTTTGTATGTTCAAAAACAGTTTGTTCTTACCTTAAACCTACCCTGGTAATATTGACTTATTATCCAGAGTGATTAGGTTTCGAATTGTGTTCATATTATTATTTCGATAGAACAATGAGAAGACGGGGTTGATCTGAAAAATGTAATGTATTTGCGCTATACATTTCGAACAATCTGGTCACACATATACTTGTCAGGGCATTTTTATATGAAAATACTAAATAAGAACTTTCGTCTAAATTTGAACGAATAGTTTCACAATATTTGGGTGCCAAGTTAATGTGAGACTGGCTTTTCCTTGAAAAAGCTTGGACCAGATTGCCAGGCGAAACGTTGGATTTACTTAAAAATTCATTCGCTGAGATTTTACAAATATATTCTTCTTTTTAATGAAAATACTAAAGGTCAAACAAATAAAAGTTCAATTAAAATAACTAAGGGGAGAGAAAGAATAAGAAATTGTCGCGTTATCCTAGGCCATAGGATGACTTAAGGATTACCAAGGTAAAATCAAGGTTACGACAAATTATTTTTGTACATATAAGGGGGGTTTAAATTTACAAGTTATTATTATTACTCTTATCATCATTATCCTTATCTCCTCTTACCCCGTTTCCAGTCTAGTCGACCTTTTATTTTTATATATAAATGCTTTTAACAAATATATGTGTGATCAGATTGTTCGAAAAGTATTGCGCTAATATATCACATAGTTCTGATAATCTTCGTCTTCTAATTACATTATCGAAATTTATCAAAGGGGCTAATTGTTTTAACATTATCTAATTGATTTATTTTTTGTATGAATGATCTATCAATCCATGTAGTACAATGATTATGAATTTACAGCTTTAAAGTAACTAATCTATAAGTCATAACTTTTTATTATTATTATTATTGTTGAAAGATTCTTATTTAATGCTCAAATTATTCTCATTTTGAATGGTTATACTTTGAGTTGATAATTTAAATAATATTAATAATATAATAAAAGTTATCTATATGTTATGTCATAATAAAAAATTTGTAATTTATTAAGGATATACATTTGATTTAGATGGAGTTTTGTTCTCTGAGCTACATGATTTAGTCGTGAACAATTCATCATTCTATTGAATAATATCGTCAGTACAAATTTTACGTAGAACAAATCTTCTCCATCATCTCAGCATTTGATTTAATTATATAATATAAAAGAATGAATTATAATAAGTCAATTTAATACATCCTTAATGTATATATGTATTCATTGTAAAATATTTAAACTCACATTACTTTTCCATTTACCCTTGGTTTCAAGTATTAAAAATCAATTAGATTTGAGTTAATAAAATTCTCCTTTATCATTTTATATTATAATTTTTGTATAATCAACTATATATTAATCTTATTAATTAGTCACTTAATTATTATTTGTATTCTACCATTAAACATTAATAGACACAATTTATATGTCACGTACAACTAACTACATGCAACAATATTTTTGACGAATAGAAAATCTAATTATAATCTACTTTGTCTTTTTCTCAGTAAAATATATGTGTCTATGAGTAGGAACTTACATTGAGTACATTGGAAATATATATATATATATATATATATATATATATATATATATATATATATATATATATATATATATATTGTTTGTTCAGTTTGAATTAAATCTTAATCTCAGAAGAGCTTTTTTGAATATTTTAGTAATTTTAATAGTTGAGATCATGAGTCAACTGAAGCCAGACCAGTGGAGTTCAACTCGGTCTGTTGTGAGATAATAATCCACTGAAGACAATGGTAGATGTGTCGCTCAATTTTGTGGATTAGTTGAAGTTAAACATTAACACCATTGGATGCCGACCGGCTCAGTGGTCTAGTGGTTAAGCGTCCTTGCACGAGACTGATAGGTGCTGGGTTCGAATCTCGCGAGGGAGGTGGTATCGTGGATGCGCACTACTGAGGAGTCGCACAATAGGAAGAAACGGCCGTACAGTGCTTCCAGGTTTTTCATAGTGGTCTAAATTCAATTGACTCATGATCTCAACTAACAAAATAAAATCTTATTCATAAAAACACCATTACTTAGGAAGATTAAACAGAAGGCCCCCATAAGTGCGTTTATAAAAAGAAATAAATTATCGACAATTCTTTGTCTGTCAATAAGGTATTTTCATATATATATATATATATATATATATATATATATATATATATATATATATATATATATATATATATATATATATATATATAATTATTATTATTATTATTATTAGATGGTAACCTGTTTAACTCAAGATACAAACATCTTGAATCCAATCTTTATTGAGGCAGTAGTTATTCAATAATATAGAGTTTTAAACTAAAGGAAAACTACTGTTCACTGTTTCCTGGTTTTCCATAGTTTCCAACCAACACGAGCTTGCGTGAATCCATGACAAAAAATCTATTTATCTGTTCAAAAGCTAATTTTTACAATCTGTTAAACTCAACTAAATTTTGTTTAGATTTTATTCCTTAAAATTCATAATTTTTTTGAAAAAGATATTTTGAGTTGTAGAGTGAATTTATATATGGTCAGACATTTTATTATTTACTTGAGTAAAGGTGAATTTCAATTAGACTTTTCAAACGGTGAATTTGTTTGTCGATTAATCAGCATTTTCATTTGTTTTACATTTACAGAGATTGAATTTTATCTGTTACATTTAATTTATCTAGTTGATCATTACTTTGACTAGGAGATGCATTTGGGGACAGAACTTTTAATCAATCTCCATAACCCAGTAGTGATAGTTTTCACGTGCTCACTAGTAATTAGTTTCGAGAGAAGAAGTTATAGGGTTCTAGTGAAAATCCATAATCAGAGGAACTAATCCTTGTCGAGTGTGAGTCAGTCATCCATTGAAGATTATGTGAGATGGTGATGCAATATGGTGGATTGATTAACGTTAAACATGAGAACACTGTTGGATACCGACATAGTGGTTTAGAGTTTAAGTATTCACAGAGGAGATGGAATGATTAGTGTTGTATTACAGAGTTCGATTTCATGAGTGTTCGGTGTTAAGGAGTGCTATATTAAAACGAAACGTTCTTCGAGTGCTTCCAGGTTATCAATGATATTGCGACATTGATCGGTTCATGATTTCAATGAAACTTCTGACCAAAAGATTTTCTGATGACGTTCTTTTTATCTTATTATGATATCTTTTCTAAGAGGTAACTACGTAGTCAATAAAGTCGTTGGACAATAAATTTAGTTCATCAGTACCAGTGATGTTACTGAAGCAACTTATAATATCGTTATTTAGGTACAATTTATGAAGAAAATTCAGTACTATCAGACAGATCAGAAATTGTTTGAACAGTACCGTGGAATTAGAATAAAAGTCATTGTAAACTTGAGAATACCCTTGAACGTGTTCATGAGATATTAAGAGTTGTTTATGAAGAAAACGCATTGAGAATATAGCTCTTAAAGTTACTTTGCCATTCTAGTTAGGCTAGTGAAATAGTGAAAGCTGCATCAAACGTAAAATATCAATCATGCGCGAACTTGTTTGCCTACCGATTGCTAAAGATTGGCAGTTGCTTGAGTTTAAGAAAATCGTTTACTTACGTGGTTGTGGTTAGTCATCGGTAAATGAAAGCATCGTGTGAAACGATGTGATAACCTAACCACATAAATTCAGAAAAATTCTAGTAATTTTCCAAATAGTGAAAATTGATGTTGGACAAGTGTATTATGAAAAGTAATAAAAGCAATAAGATTGGTGTACCCTAAACTATTTAAAATACAGGTTTGATAATTCCAGCTCTCGTATTCATTAAAAACTACGTAGTTAAAACAAAATCTACATTTATGCACATTTCATTTCGATGATTAACTATGCACCCTATTAATATTCAGTGTTAAATACGTCAATCTATGCTCATTGGGTAGCCAATATCTTACAATTCCACTGAATCTATTGTCATTTTTGAAGATCGTAGGATTAATTATTCAATTTGGCTGAATACACGGAGTGAGACCGAAGCATGGTTATTGAACTGCACTGGTAACCACTGTGAAGTCAGATAATCGTCAGCCTATATTTTATCGAAGCACCCGTTCACGAGGTCCAGATTCTATTAGACTGTTCGGTCAAGTATCGATAATTTAAATCTTTCTAACAAATCAAATCAACATCATTTTCGTGTTACTTATAAATAAAGTAATTCATTCTTCATTATTAATAATTAATAAAATGGAAAGTTTTGTTTTAATTAACATTATTATGTACAAACAGATTATTATAATTATTATTAGATTTTTGTAATACAGTATGCCTTTAGTTAAAAATGTTTCTCAGTTGACAAGAAAATAAGGTGTTGCGACAAAAATAGAATGAAGGTAAAATAAAGGTCTGGAGCGTTTGTTATTTGATGAGAATTGTCATAGTCCTGTCACATGAACTGGAATGATAGTAGTATCCATCCAGTCTACAAGTAACATTTTTAAGGGGTCAGTAAAATCCTGAATGAAGTTTTGAGCGAAGTAGCAATTTATATTATCGACTGTTTCAGGGTTTTAAAATATAGTTCATCCAGTTCTGTTGATTTTTCTAGTTCTAGAGAACTTAATGCCTTTTGTACGTCAACTCGGCTGAAGTTGACAGTGAGTAACTGACTTGGTGACATTGCTTCTGGTCCTCAATTTTTTGTTTAGAAGAGGCTCGTGAATGAGGACCGTCCCGAGGAAAAGTCTCATACTACGAAGAAACGCCACTCGAATGCATACAGGTTTTCAATGGTTGTTAAGATCAGTTCTTGATTCAAACTGAAAATATAGAACTATCAGATAATAAAACTAAGGCAAATTCAGAGAGGAAGATGTTCTTGTTGACAAAATCATGTGCTTAAACTTTATATTCGTATTCGTGGTTATTTGATAAATATATGTTTTCATAAAAGGATAGAAGAGACTTCATCATAAAGTGACCCAAGATTTCAGACATTAAAAAAGGTTGCGCATTAATCGAGAGGTTAGAGAGGAATATGGAGATGACAATAAGTTACGGGTTAGAAAAATATTGGATAACTGTTCACTCAACAGATATGAAGAAAAAATGAAAAATAAGCCATATCATACACATAGTTCATTTACCAAGAAGAGAGGAAGAGAGGTAGAACATCTCCTGGACATATGATTTGAAGTCGTTATGTTGCAAATTTTCAAGGTTATTGGTAAACAGTTAAGCTCCAGTATTCTGAAGTTTCATAAAGCAATTTCTACCAGGCATCAGAAACGTGGTCGAATGTAATTTAATATTTGATTCTTCCCATTGTTGTTCTCATTCACTACAGTATGCCAAGAACAATCTTTTTAAAAAATACTTAGAAGTATAGACACCTCATGAAATAATATATCTAATCTACTTCCCCAGCAATTCCATGTATAGTGCTCTTACTTCATTATTTATCAACAATAAGCCATGTAATGAAATATTAAAGAATCAGGTAAATATCATATTCAAACTCAAAATATGACAAATTAAGTTTTTTATTAAGATTCAATCTTTATTAATAGTCGATATAATGAATATTGACCAAATATTTCTGATCTGCTAAAACAACATTAAATCTATACGGAATGACAATTTCTAAATTGTACATAATTAACAAGTACAAATGAAATTTTTCCAATTATTCTCAAATAATCAGTATAGGGTTGTAGAGATTATTAAGTTTTTGATTGAGATCATGAATCGATCGATGTTAGACCACCATTGAAAATCTCGAAGCACTGGACGGCCGTTTCGTCCTTTTGTGGGACTCTCCAGCAGTGTGAATCCACGATCCCAATCGCATGATTTGAACCCAGGACCTTCAGTCTCACGTGTGAACGCCTAAACTTTAGACCACTGAGCCGGCCAGCATCAACTAATCCACGAAATCGTGCAACCATCTTTCATTTTACTGAGGTAGATACTTGTCGCTATCCGACGGGGATGAACTCCACTGGTAACGACTTCTCACCTGAACTCCGAAAATTCCCTCACACAGTTAGTCACTAGTAAGCACATGATCATTATCAGCATAAGGTTGTGGAGAATATTAAGTTTTTGATTGAGATCATGAACTGACTGATGTCCGACGAAATAAATTTATTTTATAATTGAACATTTAATGATAATAATAAATACATTAAAATACATTTTAAAAAATACTAACCTTTGATTCATTCCGAAAATCTTTATCTTTTTTAATGATAAACTGATTTAATTACTTTAATCAAGATTATAAATTAACTATTACATAAGTTATACATATATTTGGAGTCTAGATTATCAGTATAAAAATAGATCTAATTTATGTTTATATATTTAATATTCAAATGTATTTATTAGTATTCGATCCTATTGATATGCTAAACATAAAAACAACAACAACAACAACCTTATTGCTTGTTTGTTTTACTTTTTATAATTCGAAGTTGAAATTAATTGATAATTGTAAATTATTATTTTTTTGCTTTTTTTTCTCTATTTCATTGGAATTATTATTT